TGCTCTGCACCACGCCCACCAGACGTGAGCATTCTGCAGGTTCTCAGAGGGAGGGACAGAGCCAGAAAGAGCACTGCCGGCACCGAGCTGCCCCACACGGTGCCCCTACGCTGGGCCTGGTGGCCAGGACGAGGACCCTGCTCACGGCCACTCTCCTTGCCCAGCATCTAGAGAAGCATCTGGCAGAGCTGGGCGGAAATGGGTCAAGCATTGCAGATACACTGGCAAAGCCCCACCGGTGGGGTTGGCATCGCTTGTGGGGGCGAAAATGCTGGAAGAGATGTGGAGCAGAAGGTGTGGAGACTGGAGGGCGCATCCGGGGAGCTCCCAAGGAGACAGAGCAGAGAAGCCAGGAACCTACCAGCCAGTGGGCACGTTAAAGGGACAGCAGAGGGGACTAAGAGGGCCAGGAGGCCCTGAAACCAAGCTGGTGGTCATGAGTCCCTGGTCCCCTAAACTCCCCCTGCCCCCAGGAGAAGTGGAGATGAACCCAGATGGAGGGGAGTCAGGGTCTTGCTCCTAAGAAGGTCAACAGGGGGCCCAGGGCACCTGTGGAGGAGCCATGGGCTCGGACTTCCTGGCCTTGCGTCCTGGCTGCCCCGCTTTCTAGTGAAAACTTGAGCAGGATACTTGATGTCCAAGCATCGAGGTGGAAACAGAGCATCACCCACTCAAAGCTGATCTGAGGATTAAAGGAGCTAAAAGAGGGGCTCTGGTGGCGTAGTGCCTAAGGCATTTGATGGCTCACCAGAAGGCTGGCGGTTCAAACCCACCAGCCACTCCTCAGAAGGAAGATTGGGCAATCTACTCCTGTAAAGATTTACTGCCTCGGAAACCCAAAGGGGGTCACTAAGTTAGAATCGAATCGATGGCAGTGAGTTTGGTTTGGTTTCTAAACAATTCAAAAAGGAGCCCTGGGCATGGCAGTCAAGCGCTCGGCTGCCAGCAGAAAGGTTGGTCTGAACCCACCAGCCACTCCACAGGAGAAAGATGTGGCAGTCTGCTTCTGTAGAGATTACAGCGTTGGAAACCCTATGGGCTGTTCTACTGTGTCCTCTTGGGTCTCTGTGAGGCTGCTTGATGGCAGTGCGTTTAAGAGATGTAAAATGCTCAGCATGGGGTCTGAGATGCAAGTACCCAATGGATGTGGGCTATTGTGATCATCCTGACACCAGGCAATGGAAGGGCAGTAACCAACCATAAAACAGCAGTGGGATCTCTGAGTGCCTCCAGATAACCCTCACACCACCAGTGCAAGGGAGCATTGGTAGTGTTGGGCCCCATTTACACTGGAGGAAACTGAGGCCCAAAGACATCAATGTCTATGTTGCTAATGTTTACTGAGGCCTTGTACTAGCCATGTATTAATATACTTGCCATGTACTAACTCATTTAATCCCTACTCCACCCCTAGAAAATAGATACTATTACTATTCCCATTTTACAGATGAGAAACAGACACAGAGAGGGTAGGTAACTTGCTCAAAGTCACTCAGCCTGTTGAGATTCAAATACTGGATTTGAACCCAAGTCCATCTGGCTCCAACAGCCATGTTCTTTCAACTCAGGGCTCTCCTCCCAGGTCTCAAGGTTAATTTATGTTACAAAAACATGGGTCCAAGCCCAAAGCAAGTAGAAGAAACAACCGTCCTGACGGATCCCAGACAACCTACACTTGAGTACAGGGATACAGGAGGAGCAGCTCCCACGGGTCACAGGGTCCACAGGTCAGGGCAGCCAGGCAGCCAAGCACGTACCAACAGGCCAACGTCATGCCACGCTGCCACTTTTGTGGCCCTGTATGGGACCACTCTTCAGCACAAATCTGACCCACCCAGAATCCACCAGCCCTGTGGGGAGAGGTTGCCAAGTCTGTGCAGAGGACTCAGCTGGTCGATCAGCAAGCCAGCAGATGGTTCCAGTAGTAACATCTGTGATCCCCCAAACATTTCACTGCCACCCAGCACAACCTCCCACCTGGGGTAGCCCCTGGGGAGCAGGCCCAGATGGAAAACATCTGAGGATGGAGCCCCAAGCCATCTGCCACTCTTTGTGTCATTACCTTCAACAAGGAGTGAAGGAACAAAAACCAGCCTCCAAGTCCCCAAAGGCTCTGGCTCCATCCTGACTCTGCCAGGCCACCAGAGCAGAGCGAAAGGAGCACTGGGGTCCCACCAGGCCACAGGCTGCCCAGCTGCCGCTGGTCAGCGTGGAGGAGGGCTGAGCTTGACTGACCCTACACTCAACTAGACGTTGGTGCTTCAGTGGTGGGATCCCCTCCTCCCAGACTGGAGACCCAGGTCACTCCTGGCCAGACACCTCATGCACAGCCCCCCACATCTGTCGGTGGAGCCTTGCATGTTGCTATGTTGCTAAACAGGTCTCAGCAGAGTTCCAGACTAAGAAGGGCTGGGAAGAAAGGACTGGCCATCTCCCGACAATGAGGCAGCAAAATGCCTGTGGGTCACAACCGTCCAATCTATAGCCAACAGTGGGGATGGCGCGGGAGCAGGCAGCGTTTCATTCTGCTGTGCTTACGGTCACCGTGAGTCAGAGGCCAGTGGCAGGGAATGACACATTTAACCTTTGGCCTCTAGAGCCTCTGCACTCACTGGACCTTAGAGATCTACTGATGGAGGAAGGATAAAGCTCCGTCTTGGGAATGAAGCCTCCATCCGTTCCAAAGCCCACCTCTTGACTGCTGACAGTCAGAAAGAAAGCCTTTGACTCTCTGCTCTTGGCATAAACAACCCCCCCTCACTGGCGTGTGCTCCCTGGGATCCAGGCCTGTGCAAACTTCCAAACTATAGTTTTCCAACAGTCTTCTTGGGCCTGGCTTCCCAAACCCTAGAAAGCTTTTGTGGAGACAGAGGTGCTCACAGTTGCTTAAGGCTGCACCTGTTGGTGGACCAGCGTAGGAAGCCCTGCTCTAACCTCCCCCAGGCAAAAGGACTTGCTGTTATTTCAGAGCCCACAGCCACCGAGCTCAACAGCAGCCCTGCGGCTCTCTGGAGCTTTAGAACAGAACACCTGCTGGGCTGCATCCTGGTTACTGAACAGTCTCCTTTCAGGCTTGTTGACTGAAGCTCACTGTCCTGCTGTGCCCTGGCCCCTGGCCACTTAGCACAGTGCCGGGCAGAGCAGGGACCCGGGGAGGCTCTGACTGACTGCATGATGTGTAGGGTCGACCACCTCTCCTTAGTATAAAAAGCTACAGATGCAAGTGCCAAACGAGTTGCTGTGAAGTGGGTGCCGACCCGAGGCAACCCCAAGTGGTACAATCAACTCCACAGAGTTCTCAATGGCTGATTTTGCTGAAGTAGATCAGGCTTTTCTTCTGAGCTGCCTCTGGGTGGACTAGAGCCCCCAACCTTTGGTTAGCAGCCAAGGGTGTTAACCATGTACAACCCCCAAGGGCAGATGCAACTGCGACTGTCCTCAAATCCTGTCTTACGAAGCCAGGGTGGCTAAGCACAGCTGTCAATACACCGGTAAAAGGCTCATGGGACGATGTTGAAATAACTGGTAAGACCCAGAGCACAGCCCTGCAAGAACCACGTGGTTTAATGGGGGACCAAGATACTGTGAGCATTTCAAAAAGACTGCAACCAAGAACAACGACCCCCAGAGGGCGCCTTTCAGCCAAACAACAGGTTGGCTCATAAAATGAAGGTCATTCATTACCAGTGAGTACTATGCACTTAAAAAAGTCATCTATATGACACCAGATGGTCAACAGTTACTAAAGCAAACATGAATGGGTCAGGGGGCAGGGGCACCAGATGACTGCAGCGAAACGTCCACACTGGAATCACACCTACTCCTCACTCATTGACTGGCTCATAATCCAACATTTCACAGTTAGGATCACAGGGAAAATCTATTATCTGATTATCTGCACATTAATGACGTACATCTAGCAATAATGGACGTATGGTGTGAGATGAAAAGTCACGCTGGCTGTGACGGTGGAGGCTGCCCACGATTCTCAGTGGTTTGGCAGGTAAGTAATGATGGAAGGTGGCAGCGAGGCAAGAAGGCAGTCATCCCCCGTTTTGCGACCTGGCGTGGTCCCCTCCACTTCTGCGTGGTGCCAATTTTCACAAAACCACCTGTCTCTGGAGCCAGGGCATGTTGGGAAGTGAGGAGAAGGTGCAGTGAAATGTCGACACATTGTGAAAAACGTAACCAATGTCACTGAATGGCTCGTGTTATTGTTGTCATTAAGGAGCATCGGGTCGTCTCCGCCTCATAGTGACCTTATATACAACAGAACGAAACCCTGCCCAGTCCTGTGCCAGTCGAATGACCTGTGTGGGAATTGTTAACTAGAAATCTAATTTGCTGTGTAAACTTTCACTGAAAACACAATAAAATATGATTGGGGGAAAAGAAAACAAACCTGTAGGCAGGTACTCACTGGAAAGAAAAACAAGCAGACCAGGAAACAAGGGATGAAGAAGTATTTTAATAGCTCAAACTCAAAGGTCAGCGTGCTCCCCGATTCTGAAGAGACTCCCGAAAGAGGCAACTCTGGCCTTGTTGGAAGCCAGAGGTCACCCGCCCAGGGTCTCCGTGCACCATCAGCCTCCTCTCCATGCCAACCCTGGAGAAAGCAGAAACACACCCAGTACCATTCTGGCTCCCATGGGCCCTTCCTCTTGCCCACGTCTCATGTCAATTGCATTAGTTGGACTAAGACGACACCTCAGTTAAAGGAGGAGACAAAGGCCGACTGTCTAAGCAGGAGCAACCAAGCTGACGAGCAAAGCACACTGCACACAGGCTACACAGGAGGGCGTTCTGCTGCAGGGGCTGTAGCGCTACATTTGTTTTGCCCGCAAACTATCAAGAAGGGTTCTGATGACCAGAGCGTCTCCGAGGAACAAGCAACGTGGCTGTCAAAGGTCTTGGGTGTCCTGTGCCACTAGCCCACAGTCTTCGTGTGTCATCCACTGGAGAGTCTTTGGAGGAAACATAAGTCCAGCTCATGCCCCTGCCTACGGGTCAATTTCCTCGGGAATCACTGTAACCATAATGTCCTCGTTGCCCCTGCGGACCACCATGTTCAGGGTGCTTTCCTTTTTAATGACATCACTGACGTCATTGGCGGAGACCACCGACTGTCCATTGATACTGATTATGACGTCGTTTTCCTTGAGACCACCACTGTAACAAAGGAGAAGCATGAGTGTAATGTTTTGATTCCTCCTGCCCTCCCTGCTGGGAAAGGTGGCCAACTTTTATCGACAGAGGCAGTTTAGAACCTACAAGCCCAGAGCAGACAGGGTCGAAGGGGTGGGGGGTAATGGTACATGAGAATCTTTTCTACCATCTCACGGTAGGTTCCATTTCCTTTTGAGATATTTAGGTAAAAATCATCAGTAGTGCCCACCACAGAAACGTGAACCAGCTCTTATATGGGCTAATGATATTTTCACCCCAAAGAGGGCAAGGATGCACCAGGCTGGTATGGGTGCAGCCAGCTTGCTTGTAAGGAGCAAGCACTCAGAGCAGTTCCTTCAAGAATGGGAGGAACACCTCTGTCATAAGACACTGCCTCCCTGTTCTTGTGTTGGGAACAGTGTCAGCTATGCTGCCGTGGTCCTTAATGGTCTGGGACAGGGGTCAGCAAACTTTTCTGCCAAGGTGCAGACAGTACATCACTGAGGCATCACAGGCCACACAGTCTCTGCTGCAACTCCTGAGCTCACAGCTATAGTGTCAAAGCAGCCAGAGATTATATGTGTAAACAAATGGGTGTGGTTGTGTGCCAATAAAACTTTATTTATGGACAATGAAATGTGAGTTTCATAACATTTTCACGTCTCACACCACATAGTATTCTTTGGATTTTGTCTTTCAACTTTTTTAAAACGTAAAACTTTTTCTTAGCTTGTGAGCTGTGTAAAAGCAGGCAGTGGTCAGATCCAGCCCCAGGGAGTCACGTGCAAACCTCTGGTCTAGTGCTAACCAGTCCACTAGCTGCCAGCAGGCAGATTCAGCCTCAGCAGCCCCATGAGTGTCAGAGCAGAGCTGGGCTCCACGGGTGGCCAATGGAGGATTCTTTGGCAGTAGATTGCCAAGTCTTTCTTCAAGGTGCTTCTGGTCAGACCAGAACCTCCTTTAGTTAGCAGCCAAGTGTGTTAACTGTCTGTGCCCCCCACAGACTCAGGTCTAACACTATGCTCTGCCTGCTGCATCAGTACAGGTTACAAACGCTGACTGTTGGCCAGGCTTTTTCTTACAGTGGTCCTCTGATGTTACTCGGGCTTTTTTCTGGAGGTATTGACAGGTAAGACCTGATAGTCGCGTAATTAGGGAAGGCCTCAGGAGGTGATGCATCCTCAGCTGGATCCAAGCCCTGGGACAGGCCCAGCTCCCTAAGGCTGCAGAGATGCTCTCCTCAAACCCTCTTAAACCCAGCCGGCCTGTCCCAGACTCACTGGGAGTCAGTGATTAGTGTCCCCATCTCGGTGAGCCCAGGGAAGAGAGGATTTCTGAAGATCCTTTGTTGACGGGGCCTGCGCTGAACCAGGTCGGGAGGCCTGGCCAGTAGGACTTGACAAGGGATGTCCCACCCTCTTTTGTCAAGGAGCAGTACCGTCACCTGAATAGGTATGAAATGAACACTGCTCCCCACCACCACTGCCCCCGGGAAACACAAGGATATTAGGAAAAGGGAAAATCGCTCTAACTCACGCTTCTGCTGGGGTGTCAGGGATGACTTCAATGATGTACGCTCCCGAGAGCACGTCGGGGAAGTCTCGGTGGCGGTCCTTCAGCTCTTTGGCTTTGCTGCTCGGGAGAAACGTCACCCACGTTAACATGAAGTAACAGCATGCCTTCCTCGGCTCATCCTCCGGAACTCTCACCCAGCTCCCCTGCTCGGCCCTGCTTATACTGTAAATTTCCTCCAGACTCCTGAGTCTGCTTTAAAAATTGCCTGGCTGCTAGAGTCAATGACTGATGGGGTAGCAAGAAGGGAAATGGCTTGTGATTCTTCCGATTGAATGAATAGTCACTAGCACTTCTGGGGACAGTACAGTGTCGTGGTTGGCCTGGCTCGGAGCCCCCGGCTCTGCCTGTTTCTAGCTGTATAACCTTAGGCAGCGGCGGAACCTCTGTGCCTTAGCATCGACCTGCAGAATGGAGAGAACATTACCCTACAACATGGGGCTGGGTTAGGATTGATGCGATAATCTGGGTAAGAGGCCTGGCCTGGTGCTTGGTGCAGAGTAACCATGTGACAACTGGTGGCCACCCATATTGTGGCTAGTGACCCAAGCTTTGGTTCACATGAATTCACCAGGCCAATTCTTCACCCAACAAAATGCCTGCCTCGTTATCCTCATCGAGAGGGAAGGAAACCAAGGCACTCACAGTTCAAGGAGTTCCCAAGGGCACAAGCCAGGAAGTAGCAGAGCCAGGACAAGAACTCAGGAAGCCAACCCCAGGGCCTGCTCTCACCCTACTTCTCTCTCTCATTGCCAAACACAAATAACCAACATGCACTGTAGTCTTGGCAAATCGTTCCACCACAGAAGGTCCACCATTCCTGAACTGTACCTAAAATACATCAGTGGACACATTTTATGGAAGGGCTTCTCTTGATCTACCTTCCTACAACAGTTTCCACCACGCCCTCAGTCACCAGGACTCATGAGTTTACACCAGGGTTTTTCATCAAGAGTTAAATACCAATACTTTATGACCCTGCCAACCACATGTTGCAACTTCCACCAACTGGGAAAACAAATCATCCTGCCTCAGATGGCCTGGCCGGGCATTCCAGGAGCCGCAGCCCAGTAACCACAGAGCTAATAGCAGGCAAGGCCCCCGGGGTTGGGGCGGTGCAGGGAGCATCCTCAGAATGTGGGTGTCAACAGAAAAGTGAAAGGAAGACATGCAGGACAGTGACCCCCCCCCCATCCACTGTCCAAACCAGCTTCAGAGAGAAGGGCATCATCTTCTGAGAAGGGTTTCAGGAAACCTGGTTCAAAAAAGACCCTGAACAGGCCTAGTGGACCCTCCAAAAGCTAAACAAAGAATTGCCCTGTGACCCAGCAATTGCACTCTGAATAACACAAAGGCAGAAACAACGGAAATGTTTGTCCGAGGGCAAATGGATAAACAAAACATGGTGTGGCTACATGATGGAACATTACCGAGCCACAAAAAGGAATGAAGTCCTAACACTGTGACAACGTGGATGGGTCTGGCAAACATTGTGCTAAATGAAAGAAACCAGACGCAGAAGGGCAAACCTTGTTGATTCCATCTAAAAGAAATTCCAGAATCGGCAAATCTATAGAGTCAGCAACTAGATTAGTGGTTGCCAGGGGCAGTGGGGAGGGCATGGGGAGTGACTGCTAATGGGCGCTGGGTTTTCTTCTGGGGATGGAAATGTTCTGGAATTACATAGTGGTGCTGGTTGCATGACACTGTGAATGTACTGAAGTGGTTTCAAATGGTGCACTTTAAGATTTCTCTTTGGGTCTTCTGAAGTTCAAGTTTACTAAATTTAAAAATACAGACCCAGACCAGACCCAGACCCATGCATCCTGATCACCCACCTGGACGTGAGTGACATCATGCGGATGCCGATGTACTTCTTCTTGGTGATGGCTTTCCCTGGGGGACAACAGAGAACAGAGCTGAGTACACCTGAGGGCCAGGGGGTTCAATCCCCCTGGAGGGCAAAGTCAGAGACCCAGGGAGAAGACACCGGTCGTGGTTCAAACCTTTGTCCTGACCCCAATCTGCCAGGGGACCTTGGGAATGTCCCGTCACTTCAGTTGACGGCTCACATCCTGGGAGTTGTCCTTGACCCCCCCTCGCCTCATCCCAGCATGTGATCCATCCCCATCCATGCTGGTCCTGTCCCCCTGTGGCTGGAAGGTGACCCCTCTGCTCTACCTCCATGGCCACCCACCAGGTCTGAGCCACTGGAGTCCATCATCCGGAGGACTAGGTGAGCCTCTGAACTACGTCCCAACCCCCTCCAGCATACTCTCCACCTGCTCCCACTGACCTTGCAAAGATAGCCACTGGATCTCATTGCGGTTAAAAGGCAGCCCAGGGCCCTTACCTCGGTCCTCTGTGGTTCTTGCTCCCCCGGCCCTGGCCCACCCCACCTGTGTGACTACACACACACTGCCCTTGGGCACACGCTGCTCCTGGTGCCCACTAGGCTGATGCCCACCTGGAGGCTCTGTGTCCCTTCCCCCATCCTAGCCTGCTGGCTCCTTCCCCTCCAGGTCTCAGCTTGGGGGGCCTCCACTGGCCACACTGTCTCTACCAGCCACCCCTCCCATCACTCTCCAGTGCACTGTCCTCTTTCACTGCCACTACTTGAAATGGTGTCATGTCCTCACTTGTTTATTGTCTGTCCCTCAGAGTGGAGCATAACTGTCACACACCCAAGGTCCTGCCTGCCACTGAACCTGCTCCTGGCCCAGAGTAGATGTTAGTAAACATTGGTGGACTGGATGATCTGTCTTGAATTTGTTTCCTCTTTGGTAAAATGGGACCAGTCACTCCTCTGATAGGACAGGCATGAATAATGAAGTAAAACAGTATGTAGAAATCACCTAAGACTGTGCCTGGTACATGTGAGATACAAACTTCCATGACCGTAGGCCAATAGTGGTCAAATATCGACAACGTAACCCTATGGGCCTCCTAACGTGTGTCCCTCTGCCTTCATCACAGGACAGCTTGGCTGGTCTTAGGTTGGTCATTTTCTCTCATCCAGATCCCTGAGGAGTGGCCGAGACTCAGGCTGGGCCCCGAGGGCCCCCACAGCTGTCTGGTCCCCGCCTTACCTTTGGCCTGCCTGTCATGGGACTCAGTGAGGAACTTCTTGATTTTATCCGAGGGGATCGCAAAGGAGATTCCTGCAGTCACTTTCAGAGTGTTAATTCCGATCACCTCACCGTCCTGAAAGGCAAGAGGTGACAGGGAAGCCAAAGCCGTCAGGGAGAGAAGCCCCAAGGGCGAAGGAAGGGTCTGAGGGAAATCTTGCACTCCATCGGAGCAGGGGCTGGGAGCTGGAGGGAGGCAGCAGGCTGCAGAGGATGGCAGGTCACCGGGACCCGGGGGGGCAGGAAAGCCATGCTCCACGGCGGCTGAGCCGCCAGACACAGCTCGCTGCTTTTAAAGGCTTGCTCCTTTTGCAGGGAACGCTGTCACTGTGGAGACCACCGAGTCCATTTTTTGACTCGTAACGACCCACGTGACGGAGCAGAACAGCCCGAGGGTTTCCAGGCCATCATCTTTATGGGAGCAGAGGACCGGGGCTTTCTCCCACGGAGCTATGGGTAGGTTTGAACTGTCGACTTTTCAGTTAGCTGCCAGGCACTTAGGCATTGTACCAACAGGGCTGTGCTGGGGCACGCACCCTCCTCTCAGCAGCAGCCCTGAGGGTGCGGCAGGGGTCCGGGCC